CTGTAGAGGAGCAAGTTACCTTGCATTACTCTATTCATTCTAGACGGAGGACTTGCGGAGTAAGGTGTTACTCAGTCTGAGTACAAACAGTGACGTGTTTTTGATCAGGACATTGTCCATCCACTAGAAGTTGTCAGGTAGGACATGGTGCCTGGTAAACAAGAGACAAAGCTGAAAGTCAAGTGGTGTGTGGCTTTTTTGGCACCCCCTTCCTGATGAGCATCAAACCCAGAAATGAAATGATCACACCAGAAACCCAGGCCAGGAGCACCCATAGGGAGCCCTCGCCACCTCAAGTCTGGGACTACCAGGTGCAGAGCAGAAGCAGGCCGCCAGGGTTATTCCCTCACCTGAACACTGCCACTGTGGTGTAGATATGCCTATAGTCTCTGGAAAACTCAACCTATATGGGTGGGTTTGCTCCACACCCCTTGGCTTGCTGATATGGAGCTCTCTGCAGGGTTTGAAATAAAGGCTAGTGTCCATTCTTAAAAAGAGAGACTGCTCATTTGCATTTCAAGAAGTGCAAGGGGGAAGAAATGATGCTGGTTGTTGTGAGGTGAACCTGAGCCACAGATTTCCAATTGCAAGTGTGAGTAACACTCTGGGCAGCGTTAGTATCTCCTGTTCCATGAGCAAAAAGCGCCAGGTCTGCGGTTAGGCCTCAAGACATGCCAGAGCACCATCATTCCCTTTTGAAAAAATGGAGAAAGTGGGACTCAGTCTGCACTACAAAATGTGACTTGCTCTGCTGTGTTAGGGGCATGAAAAGATCACATCCCATCAACTGACATGGGTCTCTTGATAGCCTCCTGCTCCCTCCGGATGCTGATGTCCAACAGAGGGCTGTGATGGCAGAACTGCTGTTGGCTGGGGGGGTGGTGAAGAGAGGCTGTGTCCATGTGGGGCTCTCCCACTGTAACTGTGCTATGCGGGCGGCAGCCCCATAATATAGACACGTCTTTAGTCCTAGGAACGTAGTGCAACTTGCTTCAAGTTATATAGGAAAAGCTCATGGCCCCCAGGGCGTGCTTGAACCAGAAGAACAGTGGTCCTAGCTTCTTCCCCCTGGCCCTCATGTCCACCGCTAGCATTTCCACTGGCTCAAGGCCTGTTAACAGATGCTCAGAACCCAGAAAAACACATCTGTCTGTCTGTCTGTGCAAGGTCACGTAAGATCGCATCCGCAGACTGTTTTTATTTCTCCTCAGTGCCGGCCCTTTCTGTTTATGCAGCTGCTGAACAAGTGTCCCCTTCTCAGCTGGCAACACCCCACACAGCCACCAGAAATAAAAGCAGGAGGATGCTGCCAGGGAGACTATCTGCTCTTCCAAAGCTGGAGGTAAGTGCTTTGGCTCCTGTCCAAGCGCAGCTATGAACAAGGGAGTTACAACCGTCACTACTACAGAACTGCTCTGACTGGACAAGCTGTGCGCCAGGCTGGCTCTGTAATGCTGCCTCTGCTGGCAAACCAGTGGAGAATCTCACCCCTGCGCAGAGTGCCAATGTGAGGACCAGCCGTTACCTAAGTGCAATGGTCGCTCTGCTCCCATCCTGCTCCCAGGATCTGTGGGACGAGCCCATTTTATGTCTTTCCATTTAGAGGTGCCTAGGTGATGGGCTGGCTATCCACGCTGGGGTAAATTTTACCCCCTGTGCAAGCCCGTGGCCACTGCAGCCATGAGATACTTCCCATCAGATCCATAGTGTCCCATGTGAGGCTGCTGCGATGGAACTGTAAATGCTGGCTAAACTTTCATTTTCTGACCCAGGCAATTTATAATTAAGGCCAGGCTAATTGAGTTTATGGCACAGCCATCCAGCTGAAAGCTGGGACATGCAGAGGGTAGCTGATGCACCCTCCAGGTCCTCAAAGATACCGATAGGCTAAGGGTGCCCTCATACCTCTGAGGATCCACACCTTTGCCCTTATCCAGCTGGCTATGACTAGCTGTTGAACCTGAACAAGGTGTGAAGCATCTTCTGTTTGGTGTCCCTTGCAGGGCAAAAGGAAACTTCAAGGCAGCATGGTCTAATGGATACAGTCCTGGACCGGAAGTCAGGAAATCTGAAGTCTGTTCTTGCCTCTGCCAATGGCTTGCTGGGTGATCTTTGGAAAGTTACTTCTCCATCTTGCTGCCATTTCCCCCCTTGCATTAGCACCTATGTTGCTTGAGGATCAGACAATCTGAGGTGAGAAAGTTACAAAAGTAGTGGACAAATAAAGAGACTGACAGAAAGAGCCTTCACTTTGAATGTTTCTGCTTCCATCAGTCTCTAATTTTCTATTAATTTTGTCTTCATGCTTGAAATAGTTTCCTCTTGCTAAAAGGCCGATTCCAAGGAAGGCTTCTGTTCCAAGGAAAAACGCTGATGCTGAGTGGAGGCAGAGTTTCCAAGGAAGAACTGTTGCTGTCCTTAGCTAAACTCTTCAGTCAATCACCTTACTATAGAAAACAGAGATTAGGTTTCTGAGGGAAAAGACATTAAGCAGTAGTTTTTACAAATGACTCATGGACGTTTTTTGGTCCAGCAGATGAATTCCAACGTAATGAACTGGAGCTGAAGACAAAGCTACCATAGCTTTGAGTATACATTGCTTAGGAAGTTAGCTTAAAATGATGAGCTGGAGAATACTAATGTGTAGCTCTCAGTTCTATAATGGAAATATTTTTTATAAAAACCATAATGTTTTTATAAAAAACATGGACATATCACATGACCTTTTATTTCAGCACAGTGTAATTTAACTGGATCTCAATTTACATCACTATTGAATTATATGGCTTGTGTTAGCATGGCAGCTATTGATTATTTTCCTTCTCAGTTTTCATTTCGCGCTGGGACACTAGCTAACTTAGTGGCCCCCAACCTTGTTGGCCCATAGGGCAACATATCTGCTCTTCTTGTCAACCTCAAGAAGCAGGTATCTGTAGAAAACAACATTCCCTTTGGCTGCAAAGCAGCGTTAGACATTTTGTGGGGAACTTGTTGCCTGCAAACCATAGGTGGAGACCAGCATTAACACCTGCGGTTGTATTGCAAGGCTTGGGAAATGCTGGAGAGCAAGTTTGGAGCGCCAACAGCCACAGTGGAGCCTGTGTGGGGTTAAAGAGTAGTAGGGAGAATTGGAGAAGCCTGAGACAAATGGAAAAGTAGCAGAAAATAAGGGTAGCACTGAAAATGTTTGGGAAAATACAGCCCTTACAATGGTAGCCTTTTCAAATGCACTGGCCAATGAATGCTTAGGAGAGTGGCTGTATGTAATCCATCTGCAATCCCCAAAGGATTAAAGGGGCACATGATTTATTAGGAGAGGTGGAGGGAGCTGGGCTTGTTTAGTCTGGAGAAGAGAAGATGGAGGGGAAATTTCATAGTAGCCTTCACCTCCCTGCAGGGGGGTTGCAAAGAGGATGGAGCTGGACTGTTCTCAGTGGGGGCAGATGGCAGAACAAGGAGCAATGGGCTCAAGTTGCAGCAAGAGAAGTTGAGGTTGGATATTAGGAAAAACCTTTTCATGAGGAAGGTGGTGAAGCACTGGAACAGGTTACCCAGAGAGGTGGTGGACTCTCCATCCTTGGACATTTTTAAGGCCTGGTTTGACAAAGCCTTGGCTGGCATGATGTAGTTGGGGCTGGTCCTGCTTGGAGCAAGGGGTTGGACTAGATGTGACCTCCTGAGGTCCCTTCCAACCCTCATTGTCTATAAGTCTAGAAAGGAACAGCTGAGAAAGGTGGAAAAGATGCAAACCAGCTATGAGCTTGAGAGAAAAGCTGTGGAGAGGACAGGACAACCACAAAGCTATAATGGTACAAATACTGAATTTGCTGGTCCTGAAGCATTTTTCTTTGCTTCTTTAGGGATGAAAAGTCACAATTCCACATGTGCATGACACCACATAAACAGGGACCTCCCTGTCATTCCCAAATTGCTGAAGGATGAGATGGCTATTCAGCAGTCTGACCATATGTATGTCCCCTCCCTATAAAATACCAGTATGATTCTGCTTCTAAGAGGTGATGTGCAAACATGATAAACCATGCTCCCAGAAATGCAGCTTCTGGGTTTACAACACAGCACGTAACGGAGGAAGAGCAGGAGAACAGCACAGATTTCACAGCTGCTCCTGGGCAGATGACACGGTGCGCTCGCATGTGTTAAAGCCGCTCCTGCTCTGCACAAGCTTGGCTCTTTTCTCCTCAGTGCTTCAAACTCGGGTGTGTTTGAGCAGAGCCAACCACATACTGCTCGTTCACGCGGCCTTCTGCTCAGGGACGAAGACTGATAACAAAGTTGAGCCGTAACAGCCTAGTGCAACAGGGCTCTCTTCCTTTGGGACCTGCAGATGCACAGACTGCATCGCACCCCACAGCGCAGGAGTGGGATCACACGCCATTGCGCCTACACACCAGGATCGGGGCCCTGATGCCCGCCCGGCTCTGCGAGCACCGCCGTCCTCGGGAAGAAGGCAGGGTGGCCCTGTGCTGACGATGGCAGCGCCGGGTTAGTCCGTGCTTGGAGATGGACAGATGGAGAGCAAGACGTCGATCCAGCTTGAGGGCCGGGCGCATCTGCCCGGCGGGGAAGGTGAAATTCGGCTCCCCGGCTGTCTCACAGGACCTCTGGATTTCGTCCTGACCCCAACCGGAACTTCACCCAGGGGTGGCTGGCACTTGGCCTCTGCACCATTAAGCTGAGACACCCATGTCCCCACGCCTTGCACCCTCTCTGCGAGGGCTGCCCCACGAGCAGAGTTAAGGTGATGGTTAGGAGGAGCTACCCCCCCACAGCCCTCAGACCCCCCCCCCCAGCCAGGGGGCGGGGCCAAAGGTCAGGGGCGGGGCCCAACTAGGGACGAGGCCCAATGGGCAGGGGGCGGGGCGCAGATAGGACGAGGCCCAACGGGCAGGGGGTGTAGGCAGGCGGCAAGGGGTGGAGCTCGGTCCAACGGCAAAGGGGCGTGGCCTGGCGGCAGGCGGGGCGCTCGCGCCGCACCCAAGATGGCGGCGACGGCGAGGTACCGGCCTGACTGCCCGCGGCCGCCATGTTGGTGAGGGCGGCGCAGCTCGGTGGGGCCC